TAGACTCGTCATCAGCCACAAGTCTGAGCCGAATCTGCTTCGCGAGCATGGACGCAGCACTACTGCGATTGCCATCAAAGGTATTTTGGTGGACAGTGATGACCTCGAAATGCTCAGATCTACTAAGCAAATCTTGAAGTTTGTGAACCATGACACTGAAGGGAGTTGCAGGTGAATCAGCAGTGGCGGTCTTGGGCTTGGACTTGACGCTGTAGCCCATGAAGACCTGCAAGAAGTCCGCCTGGGCAGTGCGGGCTAAACCCTCATCGGGATTGCTGAACACTTCCAAAAGCACTCTTACGAGTCCAGAAGCCAGAAGCTCTGCGCTGGTGACACTTTCGAGGACGTCGGCGTCGAAGGACGAGGCCAGCTTCTTGAACAACTCTATGCCGTTTTCAGGCGAAAGATTACCTGCCGATCTGTTGAGGTAGAAGGCTTCAATCTCTCCAGCAAGATCTGAAAGATTGGTGAGAATCCCAGTCGCCTTCTTCTTCATGGCCTTGCCGTGCTTCTCGGTCTCGTGACTCTCCAAGAACTTCTTAGCCACCTCGCGAATCCTGCTTCGCATCGATGGAACGTCTGACAGAAAGTGTTGAGGCGGCCCGTCGAGCGACATTGTTGAGCCGCGTGAGCTAACCGGCGACCCAGAAATGTCGTCTGGATGAGGCTCGTTCTCATTGTCCTCTTCATTTTCCTCGTCATCCGACTCTTCGTGTTCTTCATCGTCTTCAGACTCTTCATTGTCTGAAGATTGATCACCAGAATCTGCTGCGGCCTGCTGCTCTGTGTTGTGGGACTCCTGTGAGTCGGCCGGCTCTGGCGCTGGGGGCGGCGTGTGCTCCTCGATGGCCAGTTTGGTGATTTCCGAAATGACACCTTCACGGTAGAGCTGATACCGGTAAACATCTTCCAAGCGACTGAGAAGGAGTTCTGTGGCTTGAAGTGCCAGCATAACCAGTGAGGGATGGTCCTGTTGAGATAGGATCGAAGCCAGGAAGGAAGCATAGGATACTGTCTTTAGCGCTTCGCTAAGAATCTCCTCGTCGAGGTTTGAAAGCATCTTTAGCTGGGCTGTGAGAACCTTTTGACGAACGTTGAGGTTGACCGTACTCGAAAAAGCGTCGGTCAAGGTCGGGAAAAGAATAAGAGCAAAGCGGCGAACTTCGGACTTGCAGCTGTCGAGCAGTTCGATTCTCTTATCGTTTGGTGACTTGCGCGTCTTCCCAGCTGCCGTGGAAGAAGGAGTGATGGGTTCTGTCGCGTTCATCTCCACGAAGTCGCCATATGAAGGGTCAGCGTTGCGAGGCAGGCTAGGTAGCAGCTCGCAAATGACATTGAGCGTCTCGATAATCTGCTCCTTTGGTCGATGGATTAAGGCCTGCATGATGACAACACTGTCCAACTTGGAGGCAACGTCTTCTGTACCGCTGGGCGGAGAAACACCGGTAAGGATTTGATACAGTGTCTCCACGATGTTGAGCTTGAACAAGTCCGCCGAAAGTTGAGGGCTAGCACGAGCCGTAAAGGCCAGCACTCGCAGGAATTGCGTGTGGATATCAGCGCCAATGAGATTAGTGGTGCCAGGCACAAGCAGCCTCAACACAGCCTTCAACAGGTCGACACTGACGAGTTCTTCCAGCTTTGCAGACTGGTACTTGAAGCTCTCCACAATGCCAGAGACACAGATCGAAGCCTTTTCGACCACTCGCTGGTCGCTGCTGCCCAAGACATTGAGAAGTGTGGGCATGACATCTCGAATGACCGGGAAGGAATCCTCAGGAATGTTTCGACAGCAATTTGCAGCGGTAGTGACGGCTGTTCTTTGTGTGCTTGTTGCGAAGAAATCCAAGTAAGATAAGCAGGCGGTCAAGCCACCTTCTCGGACAATGCTGGACGGATACTCTGCAGAGATCTTTTCGAGGGTGCTCAGGGCTTGCTCTGCAAGGTCGATGAAGGAAATCTCGAGCAGCTTTTGGCAGAGCACAGGGACAGCCCCTCCGTAAACAACGTTGGCCACGCTGGCGGGCAATGCCTCCATCAAATTTGCCAGGCAACGGCAGGCGAGCAGCATGAGTTCGGGATTCTCTTCGCCCGTAATCTCGTTGGGTTGCATCAGAGTCACCAATTCCTTGACGAAGGCATCAGGTGAAAAGTGACCTGACAAGTTATCCTCGTTGGAAACCAACAAGATTTCAGACAGCTCTTGCAGGGCGATCAGCTGCACTGATGGGTCATCTTTTTGACGCAGGCTGTTGAGAAGATCTCGCAGGCGGGACGAAATACCCGTCATCATGCCTGTCAAGGCCCGCAAGGTACTTGACAAGCCACCGGGACCTCCAGGACCTCCGAATCCCCCAAAGGGATCATCGTCTACGTCGTCATCGTATCGCTGACCCTCGTCGTCGTCATCGTTTTCGTCACTATCATCGTCGTCTTGATGTTCGGGAGGAGGCGGTGGGGGCGGGAGAGGAAGAGACTCCTTTTCAGTATCATCTGTGCCCGTCATTGCGGTGTCGGGATCCGCATTGTTTGCGGCATTCCGTTTCGTCTTGCGGGAGGAGCTGGATGTGTTGGCGGAAGGATCTGCTTATGCCGAATCAGTATCATGCTTCAGAGTGTCAAACTAGAGGCAACTGGGGGTTACCTAGGGTGCCGGTGGCAGTCCTCTTGCTTCGGCTGCTACTGGATTTGCGGCTTGAAGATGCCGAGGGTGCGGTGTTCTCTGATGCGTTCGCAGGATCGGCGGAAATGCTAACAAGCACAGTCAGCTTTGAAGAAAGTACAGCTCCGGCTCATGGGACTCCTTACTCTGGGCTCGACATGGCGACGGTAGATTTGCCCTTTCTCTTGGAGCGAGGCGGGACAGTCGGTTGAGTAGGGAGCTGAGGCGGTGGAACAGCTTCGGCTACCTTTTGACGCTTTGATCGCCTGGAGGAAGCTGATGCAGACTGCTGTGGTCCAGGAGTAGGGCTGGTAGCTTGTGTTGAAGCCTTTCGTTTCCGCGAGGCTGAGGTGGGAGGGTTTGGAGGACTGGAGCTCGGTGGTGCAGGGGCGGCCGCTGCGGGATCGGCGCTTGCAGCGGGTTGTGTCGATGAAGCCGCGAGACTCGCCGCTTGCCGGGCAGAAGATCTGGTAATTCTGGGAGACATGAGTGACTGGTTCTTAGGAGGCATGCCGACCGAAGAACGGAAGGCGAGAAAACGAAGGTAAGGATCAAGTCAAATGTGCCGAGGCCAAGATGTCGGTGGCCTCGTGTGTGTCCGCAACGAACGTTAGATGTGTGTGTGGTGTGTGTGGTGTGTGACGGTGTAGTGGATGTGGATGTACAGTGTACTAGACACAACGAGAGAGGTAAAGCATGCAATGAATTGCTGGGGTGGTGGAGGGAGGGGTCTGCTAGCACTGGCTCGAAGCTGACCAAGCGAGAGGGACGAGAGAAAGGAAGTGAAGGAGAAAAAAGGTATCGGGTCGGGGAAGAAGAAGTGTCGAGGAGACGATAATCAAGACTCGATGAAGAGAGGATGAAGGAGCGGTGCGATGCAGCCGTGTTTCAATGGTTGGAAAGCAGGCGTCTCTCTGCCTTTTTTTTTTCTGAGGTGCTCTAGAGGTACGGTGCGGTGGTGCCTGGCAGGGTGTGTACGGTGCGGTTGCGGTGTAGTGAGGTAGGGCGGTAGGTATAGTGACCAGACCCGCTTAAGTTCGAGATCCCGCCGTTCGGGTACCAAAGGTGAGGTAGCTTCAGGCAGAGGAAGAGGAGGAGAACGAAGGTGAGGCGGATCCTGAAGTCGAAAAAGTGCCCTTTTTCGTGCCTTTTTTGTACTTCGAGGACCAAGAGAGACAAGCGAAGGAGATGAAGGTGAAAGAAGCAGCAGCGAGGCAGAAGTAGGTAGACCAGACCGAGAGAAGGCGGCAGGCAGGCAGGCACGAGACGAGTTGGCTGTCGCCGGCAACTACCCCACGGTACCTGGACGTTGTTCCTGCTGCTCCTGCCTCTGCTCCTTCTCTTGCTCTCTCTCACAGGAATATTCTGCGTACCTGTCACCCGACGTTGATTCTTGCTGCTTTCTCTTCTCTTGTATGTCCTCTTCTTCCTCTTGTTCTCGTTCCTCTTCACTCTCGAGTCTCTGTGTCTCGCTCTCATACACACGAACCACACACACGCACGCTCTGCCTCTTTCGACTCTCTCTTTTGTCTCCGCAGAGCATAAAACAATGTATTGGGGTTCGAAACGAAACACGACAAATACGGGTGAAATGACAACCACCTACCGCTGGGAAGACGAGGTCGAAGCTAGGGTGGACGAGCCCGAACCGGAAGACGATGTCGTCGGCGTAGACGGGAGGCGCGCGGGGGGATCGTGGTCGACTACCGATCTGGAGCGCTGGTTTGCAGAGGCGATTCGTTCTGCCATGGATTACGCCATGAGGCAGGACAGCTCGAGGGTTGCTGGCGATTAGGCGTTGTGGTGTCTTGATGTTATCAGCGCCGTCGGGAAATTGCCAAAAGATACGATGGCGTTGCGAGGTTGGTCCGAATCAACGGATCAGACAAGACGATCTCGTTGCGTTGAAAGTCATCGATATTGATGGCCTGATCTATCCTTTGAATCGCTTATCGTCGTATCGTTATCGTCGTCGTCGTCGTTGTCGTCGCAGGAGAACAGATTCGATGGCGATGTTGAAGGTTGGGGAGATGTATGGATGGGGTTTGGAACCAGACGAGGTTATGCAGCGCCAAAGCAGCACGGGAGAGGAAGAAGGTGTCGGGTCTGACTGATGGATGCCCTGGGCCGTGGCCGGCGAACGGGACAGACGCACCACCCGTTGCTGCTAACAGTTTAACAAGCACCACGCCGCACGCCGCACGCCACACGCACCACCACCACCACCACGCACAACACACACATGCTCCAAGCGGCTCTGATATCGCTGTTCCAGTCCACTTTTTGCTCCAAACGTAGCCACTGGGGGATACGGAGTATTGGGCCCGCCAACTCAACATGAGCAGCCACGAGGGGGGAATCCCTGCGGTAAGGCCCATGCTTATGATGCTGCGGATACAGACGTAGGTATTGCGTTCGCCATTCTCGATACCTTACCTGTGATACTAATCAATACGGGCAGAACTATGCCATGGAACGGTCCCTCTCCTGTCACGTCTACCGTCTGGCTCCGTCCCAACCTCGAACGGCGCCAACGCCAACGCCGCTCATGGACGTGCCGTCGTCCGTCACCCGTCACAAGCCTCCCTATTCCATCCCAGCCTACTAGGTGTTGTCTTCAAATGCTCAGTCCGTACAGCGTCACTGTAGTAGTGTCTGACCGTGCTGGGACAACGTTTGGCAGCTCGACCCCGCCCTACCATCGCTGTCTATCCCCAGTCTCTCAGGTGCTGACCTTGCACTAAGGTACTTACAGCCAAAACAGTTTCCCATCGCATTAAAGCCGCTTATCATTACGGAGCCATGTTTCCGTTTACGCATCCACACCTTGCCCAGTGCGCTCCAGATTCTGACAGAGCTGATTCAAGGTTGGGTGGGGAGACGGCATTCCTACCTTTTCTTGCGCCATCAGGGTCGACCAATACTCCAATTTCTAAGCAGCCGAGTCAAACGAGTCAACAAAAACACCTCACGGAATTTCGATAACATGCAATATAGGCTTTTCTCGCATCCACAGCGCTGGAGATTCCGCATTAATCACTTCTTCTCTAGCCAAGTAGGTATCATGCAGGACCCGCTCGTCTATGCCTTCAAGCTATCCTTGCCTCCCTCGAATTCACCAAACTCGTACTCATCCGGGTACTTGTCTAGGTGCTCACGTAGCTGTGCCATTTGCTGCTTCAGATCCGGCGTCAGTTCCTCATAAACGTCTTCGAACATGCCTCGGATTGGCGGCTTCTTCTCCATCTCGGCCTCTTTGAACGCCTTCAGCACCTCCCTTCTAGTCGAGTCTCTGCACTCCTTTTCCTTGGCCTCATCCCACATGCCTTTGGCCTCCATGTACTTGCGCAGACGCGTAATGGGGTTGTCCCGCCTCTTCCAGTCCTCAACCTCGACTCTAGCACGGTAGGCAAACGAGTCATCCGACGTGCTGTGGTGGCTCACCCTGTAAGTCATGGCCTCGATCAAGACGGGGCGGCCCCCGTTCTCGAGCGCCATTTCACGGGCCCTCTTCGTAGCCTCTCTAACAGCCCAGATATCGTTACCATCTACTCTAATGGTGTCGATGCCGTACCCCAGGCCACGGCTGGCGATTCCGTCACCTCTGTACTGTTCTAATGTCGGCGTGGAGATAGCATAGCCGTTGTTTCGGCAGATGAAGATTACAGGACATGACCTTGTAGCCGCGATGTTGAGGGCGGCATGAAAGTCTCCCTCACTCGCCGCACCCTCGCCAAAGTAGGCTGCAACGACTCTCGGGGGTATCGACTGATCTTGCATCCGCTGCATCTTCAAAGCGTATGCCGCTCCTGAAGCTTGCGGAAGCTGCGTTGCCAACGGCGACGAGATGGTATGCTGTACGAGCAACGTGTTAGCCTATGCACCCTCCAATGCCCTCCAGAGGTGCCGTCTCGGTCATGGGAACCTACAATATTCAGCTCCTTGCTACCATAGTGCACCGGCATGTTCCTCCCCCTACCGGGATCTTTCGAATTGGCAAAGAGCTGGTTCATGAAATCCGCCGTTGTGAAGCCCCGCTGCTTAAATACTCCCTGCTCGCGGTACTGGCAGAAGATGACATCCTCGGGCGTCAGCACACTCGCGGAGCCGACGCTCAGCGCCTCTTCGCCCGCCGAGACCATATAGAAGCTCAGCCTGCCCTGGCGCTGGGCGTCGAACATGATTAGGTCCATGACGGAGATGAAGACCATGTCCTTGTAGAGCTTGACGATCTGCGCCTCGTCGAGGTCCGGGACGAAGGCGTCGTCAACGATGGCGCCGTTTTGGTCCACGACGCGGTAGGTCGGCACGGCGGGGTAGTCACCCGGCGTCTCGAACTTGAGGCTGCTCGTGAAGGCGCTCTTTACGGCGCCGGGGAAGGAGACGTGATTCGCGTTTGGCCTTTGGGAAAGGCTACTTGCTGCTCGTCTGGTTTGAGATGTTGCTGCTGCCGCCGCTGCTCCTGCTGTCGGTGTTGATCTCGTCTTTGGAAGACCGCTTCCGGCTCGGGGGAGGGCCAGCCCGCCGAGGGGTGCCCGTCGAAGTATCTTGGAGGTCCTCATCTCTGCTGCTTTTCCTTCTTTGATCTTTGCTCTAAAGAAAGTCAATTGATTGAAAGGAGATGATCACAAGGCCTTGCTCAATGACACGAGAACTTCAGAGACGAAAGGGAAAGGAGTTGAGAGGGCCAGAGTGCCAAAGGGACTGAGGGAGAATGCCGAGACAGCAGCTATCCCGAGGAAGACCGTCTATCGTCGGCCGAAGTTGCGACGTCATGGCTGAGCCGATGTAAGCCGGTACCGATAAGGCAAGTTAGCAGTGGTGACTTCCCCCAAACCCCCCTGAAAGCCGTTACTGAGCTTTCCATCCTTTCCCCGCGCCCCACGTGTATTCCTATCGATAAGAGAAACCGAACCTTGGACAGGGGTGCTTGTGTCTTGGGACCATGACCGAGCAGCCAGCCCATCGACAAGGTTATGGTTTGCTCCGTGCTGGCGTCTAGGGACTGTTTTGTTCCCCCGTAGCCGAATCAGAAGCCAACCTGTGACTTTTATTTCTCTCGCGACGGTTTAATACCGCATGAATTTATGGACCGATTTGATGTATTACCGGTGAGCTTTTTTCTCTCTCCCTTATCTTGGCTGTAAATTACGGTCTCTACGTTGACTTTATCTAACAATGTAGATAAAGTCAGTACTAGACGAATCCATGTTTATGGACGGTGGTTTGCCTGTGCTAACCGATGTTTGGCGAGAAAGTTATCGATGACTGATTTACACAATACAGCGCCTTCGTATATGTGTATTGAGGGTTTTGGTTACTCCGCGCTAATCTGAAATACCAAGTCATGGTTATCTAATGCGACAACACTTCCCAAGAGCCTTGATCAAGTAAGTCTCGTTCTTGAAGTGCGGGTTCCCTCTTGAGTTGGAAAGAGCTAACTAACGCCGGGTCTCTAAGCCGATTCTAACCTCATCAATTCAACTTTAGAAACAATCACGAGGACAATTTGAGTCGCGGAGAACTCATCCAAAGGATCAACCTGTTTAACACTATAGCTCGGTTTGATTTTTCTTCTAGAGCATCATCTCCTGAATCAATTCACTGCACAGCATGTGCCTGGTTGCCAAACTGCGATTGCACGGAAGCTTCATCAAAATGGATTGAACGTTGAATTGGCCCTCGTCCAGGGCCATAACTACTTCTCGCTTCACGGCAGAAGATCGTAGTACTAGTAGGTATACCGGAAGTCCTTATTCTCCCCATCCGTCTTATCCTCCCTCTCCTGCTCGAGACCAGCCTGCAACCTATCCTCCGGCACCCCAAACTTGGAATTGCGCCGCTTGTTCTCCGCAACGCAGAGCAGGTAGTACACGAGCCCGGACGCGGCCATGAGCGCAAAAGCAAACATCATGGCGCTGATGCCGAGCGGGTACCGCGGCGCCTGGCTCGACAAGAACAGCTGAGGTCCGACAATGTTGCCGACGGCGTAGCACACGGCCACCGTGACGCCCATGAAGCTCTTTTTCGTAGCACCCGCCGTGTTGGACGAGTTGAGGCTCAGCATAAAGACCCACGGGACGTTGTAGAAGCCCATGATGTACACGCACGCCAGGCTGGCGTTTCTGTTCAGGTTGATGTCGAGCGTGTGCACCATCACCGCCCCGACGAGCCCGACGAGCGCGGAGAATATCCAGAACAGGCAGCGCAGGTTCTGCACGAACATGGATATCGTGGTGAGGACGACGCCGGCGACCATGGCGACCGCGGCCTGCGGCGTGGCCATGAGGACGGTCTTGGTCTGGCTGAAGCCGTAGCCCGAGATGATGAGCGGGTTGAAGTTTGTGATGCCCGCGTTGGCGACGGCGTAGCCGATGGCGCAGGCCCAGACGCACCAGCATTTCGGGTCCTTGACGGCCTCGAGGATCTGCTGCGCGTCGAATTTCTTCTTGACGTCGACGCCCGTCTGGTTCTCGGCGAGGCGGGCGACGACTTGTCGCTTCTCCCGCTCGTCAAAGAACCATGCCTTTTGAGGGGAGTCGGGCAGCGCGAAGAGAACCACGAAGCCGACGAGGACGGTGACGGCGCCGTAGATGATGAAGATGTACTTCCACGTCGACAGGCTCCCCTTGATATTTCCGATGGCGTATGAGAGGATACCGCCAAACACGCCGGCGAAAGTATTATGCCACAGTGCCGTCCGCAGGGGCTGCTCTTCGCGGCGGTACCACGTCGCGTTGAGGACGAGCATGCATGGCAACAAGGCGGCCTCGAAGATGCCGAGCAGGACGCGGATGGCGGCGAGGCCGGCGAAGTTGTGGCAGGCGGACATGAGGCAGATGCAGGCGCCCCAGAGGACGAGACAGGCGCCGATGAATTTTCCGATGGGGAGCTTGGTGATGAGGTAGAGGGCGGGGAGTTCCATGGCCAGGTAACCAAAGTAGAAGACGGAGCCGAGCCAGGAGTATTCCTGCCCCTTGAGGTTCGCGTCTTGTCGAAGGCCAAAGATTGCGGCGAAGCCTAGGGCGTTCTATATCTCGGTGACATGGTTAGTTAATGATAGTTCACGGGAGGAGAAAGGAGAGGAGAGGGTTTTCGGGAGGCTTGCCTTGTCAAGGAACGCGAGGGTCATGCTGATTACGGCGCAGGGGAGGACGACGAGGTCCGTCTTCAACAGGATGCGCCTGTTTTGCGCGGGCGTCGGCGCCAGGGTCTCGTCATCCTGGGAGGTTCCGTCTTGTACGTCTTTGACATCCGTCTGCTCGGTTGCGTCGTGGTGGTCGATGGCTGATTTGGGTTCCATCACGGGAAATGGAAGCGGATTGAAAGCCACTTGGTGATGGTAAATAGGTATGTACGGAAGCGTGTAAGTCGGAGCTTATGTGTCGCTTCAGCAAACTCTCAATCAACGAGGCAACCTCGTCAGACTCATTCAAGAGCCAACTTGCTTCTCAAAAGTCAAAAAGAATGAAGTCCAAGTTTGAGATCAAGACCCAAAGACCAAACATGCTTCCCTGAGTCGGCGGCGGAACCGCAGGTATTTCAATGGCTCAACTCCACATCCCATGTCCCTGACTTTTCGATATCAATGAGATCTCTGCCGGATAACACCAATATCGTTGTTCGATATGGGGACGGGGCAGAATAGAACCTGCGATTGACGTTATCATTCTGGGGTATCACGCAATGAGAATGTGGAGCTTCTGTTCGGTCCCCACCGAGATCATTGATGTCGAGATATCGGTGCAGTCCGAGGTGCTGTGCTGACTCGTGCTCCGCCGGTCCTCACACTGTTGAGATCAGCGTTCAAGTAATACCGCAGTAAACGCCGTGTTAGCTAATAATGGTGTGGCATTTGTGCCAATATATGACAAGGGAAGACTAGTGATGAAGAGCCTTTTCCAATCATTATCTTGTTATCAAATAGAAAGTTTCCGGGCAAAATGCCGAAGACTACGCGGGCTCACGTTAGATGTCATCCAACGCAGATGATGCTCATTCCTCGAACCGAAACGTTGGTTGTGCCTGCTTCCAATTTGAAGGAAACCTGCCTGAATTCAGACACCTAGATATTGGATCAGGTTTCTTTGGCAAATTAAAGTGTATTCCAGTGTGCATTTGGTCATTCCAGAACATAGGGTGCTCATTGGTAAATCAATTGGTATTTGTGAGACTCTCGAAATGATTATAAAAAAGACTCCGCGAAGACTCAAAGCTTTGACTTTAGTTTATCAAGAACACTCAGATCCCGAGCCTGCTCAAGTTCGGCCAGAATCACTTCCCTCGACCTCGCAGTATCCCGCTCTACCTCGGCCGCATACAGCTTTTGAATCACGTCCGTCAAAGCCCCCCTCTTCCCGTCTCCAATCACCCGCCCATCAACCTCCGTAACATGAATCTGCGACGGGAACGTCCCCGTACAGAAAGCCTCGTCGGCCCCGTACACCTCCGTCAGCGCGAAATCGAGCTCCCGCACCGTGATACCCGCTGCCCGACAGACATCAATGGTCTTTTGCCGCGTGATGCCCATCATCTGATTATCCTTTGTTGGCGCCCACACCTCGTCGCCGCGGACGATGAAGAAGTTTACCGAGTTGCACGTCTTGACGAAGCCGTTGAGGTCCAGCATGAGCGCTTCGTCGACGCCCATAAAGTTGGCGTGCACGCACGCCTGCACGTCCGTCGCCTTGGAGATGTGGTTCCACTGCTCGTCCTTGACGTCGGGCGGGCCGCGCCGAACCCAGGTCGTTCCCAGGCGTAGGCCGCGCGACTTTGCTGTCGGATCTACGGCCTTGATCTCGGGGATGATGACGATGAGCGGCAGGCCGATGTTGACGTGCGGGTTCTGGTAGGGTGTTGACTTTAGGCCTCTGCTGACGACCAGACGTATGTGGACGTGAGGCTCGTTTCCCATGTCGTTTGCGTCCAACGTCTGGTGAAGAAGTGACAGGAGGTCTCCTTTTGTCAGGCCCAAGTCCATGTACATTGCCTTTGCAGACTGGAAGAGCCGATTAATGTGCTCCTTGGCGAATTGGACTCGGCCTCTTACAGCACGAATGCCTTCCTACAATGAGAAGCATCAGATCAGCCTTTGGACTTTTCTATTCCGGCTTGACCCCTTGCTTACCCAGATTCCATCGCCTATGAGGAAGTTGGAGTCAAAGACCGAGACTGTTGCTTGCTCTCTGGGGACTAGACGGAATTCGCCGGTGACGCCGTCGCGTATGCCGACCTTGTATTGAGAGTCAGTATCGTGATTTGATGAAGAATTTCAAGACGAATATATGTCTTACCAATATAGAAGCATTTCTGGAGTTCAGGACAGCCGTGTGGCTTGTGGCCGGTTGAGGCTTTGGCTGAGATTCGGACATGATGCTGGCGATGCTCTGTGCGCTGTGATTCCGTATAAGTCGTAGAACATCTGATTAGACGTCAAGCCTCGAATAAATACCACGCTTCTACAGAACCAAGAACCCCGATTTTTGTTCTGCAGGGACATCAGCCAAGAAAACGCTCAAAAGATGCCCCAGTGCTTATCCCAATGAGTAGGTAGTCTTGAGCGGCACTGAGCTCGGCCAGGGCCGAAACTATGGTAGCATTGCGCAAGCCAGTCTCCACTTATCATCGGCCCAGTCCGAGATCACCTCGGTCTTTGGGTATTAACTTCAACCAATGCAAGGGAAATGAGGCGTCAAATCGATAACAATGATCCGGTGTTGAGCTCTAGTTTTACATCAGAAGCTCGATTGATTGACTGAGGCTGTGTGATGGCATTAGCTTAGCAAGTGTCGATAGCCACCGGTCACTCAACTTACACAAATGGCTGTTGCAGGGAAGGCTTGGTGTTGCCAGGAATCATTGTGACGATGTATCATTTAACCCAAAGTTCCCTATTCTGTTGGACTGGAACTCGTCCATGAAAGTATCAAACCAAGCAGTGAGACCCTCATCTAAACCCATTTGAGCGTTGTCGAAATACCCCGTGACTTGGTTCATGTACGTTTCCAATCCATCGCCTTGAAAGAACATATTGGACTGCGTGTTGTCTGCACCAAGAAGACCAAGTGCACTTGACGCGTTCACAGGAGCTACTGGCGAAGCATCTGTAGGTTCGGTTTGAGTAATTGGCGGCTCCCACGCCCTTGGGCCATAGACTTTGATTCTTGCTGCCTGGAGAAGATCGCGATACTTCAGCAGGCCTTCTTCTTTCATCCGGGCAGTTCCGCGTTCGATGAGATCCATGCACAATGCCACATTGCTTCCATGGGAGTAGAGAAGAGGGGATTCTGGACTTTGGTTCATCGCTTTCACGTGCCTAGTAGCTAATGGTCAGTTCGTAATCTTGAAAGGAATGCCAATTGGGTCTGGTGAGATAAGAAGCTTACCAGTCACAGTACAAGCCTGCCAGCCCTACCATGAGGATCGAATGCACTTGCCGTATGCAGCGGCAAACGGCAGTGATTCCATACTGAAAGTCCAGCTTCTGCCACTGCTGAACAGTTCCAGACACGGCCCGAGAGCATATCTCAGCCATTTCTTTGGAAGGAATCATGAAAGTGGGTGATGGTCGATACATGAGTAGCAGGAGAAGTCCATATTCAATCTTCATCTCGGAGTACTCGCGCGTTCCTTTGAAGTCTAGGGCTTCCAAGTCTCGTTTCCAGCTCTCTAATTCTTGCTGGATTTTCTCAACTTCGTTGCATATTTCCTGAAATGTGGTTCTTGATGCTCGCCCATCAGGGCCTCTGGCGATGTAGATGGATTCAAGGACACGCCCACCGATCTGACGTAGTTTCATCAGATGATTGAAAAGCTTTACATTGAGTTTCTGGAACGAGGGCGCCGCACGACCCTCTTGATCTGTGAGCTCGTCGAGAGTACTGGCGGATGGCTTGGGTGCATCTATAGCATGCTCTCTGACCGAGAGTACCCTGCCTGTTATGACCGCTACCTGTCTTTCCAGTGCGTAGACACACCACCACGTCCGGTTCCGGATCTCCCGGTCATCAGAACTTAGGTCGCCCGGTGTGACGGAACGTCGGTGAAGGCCCATCTCTATGGCTGTTGACATGGTATATCGACTCATCTGCCAAACGTCATCGCCGTGATTTCTAACGTTTGATCCTAACATCCATAAGCACAGCAAGAGCACGGAGTGAAGGCCTTGCAGATCTCTCGGGTGATCGTGTATGTTCAAAAAGAATTGTAGGCCTGTCTGGAAGTAGTCTGTTGGGCTGTTCAAGTCCATCATCCGTCGGTACTCCTGGGCTTCTGTGCAAGTTGCTGAAGCGAGGGCTAGCACCATGAGAATCAGAAACTTTTGATACAATGTGCATCTGGCTGGATCCTCGTAGATTCTTGCAAGACTGCTCCTCAAGAAGGGAAGAGATATGAACGGCCACCATGGATGTATGCGACTAATGTATGTTGTCAGGAGAAATCTTGCGACTGGCTGCGGCGGGAGTGCAGCGTTGTTTCGGACGAGTTCGTGATCGTGACTGGAGGATTCTTGGCGACCATAGTGCGAGACTGATGACGATCCCGACAGGTCAATCTGCTTGAAGAAGATGCGAGCAAAGGTCGAGCCAGTGGCACTGCCCACTAAAGGGAAGAAACATAGATCAACATTTTTCTGTATCGAAACAACAGCTCATGGCCTTGAGGAGCCATACTTACTGTATATTCTCTCCGAGTAGCCGCTCGGCCTCCCGATTGCAAGAACACCAATCTCCTCGGCCTCTTTGCGAACATCATCGAACTGGCCAGGTCCAGCTATCGGACCAGCCTGGCTTGCTGTGGCTTCAGAAACACCGTCGAGTCTGGCCTGAAGCTCAATGATTCGGTCTTGAAGGCTTTTGACAGCAGCGTACGTGTAAGTCACACGGTCAGTAATATTGCACTGCTCATTTTGCTTGTGGCAAGTTGAGCATCGTGGAACCTGTAAATCACACTTGAACATGTCAGTAACCTAGACTCCTCCTTATTAGAAGGGTGACTACCTACTTTGACTTTCCTTGCATGGCAACGGCTACATGCCTTGGATACCGTCGGTGGAAATCGCGATTCCCACGTTGGATCCATCATTTGTGGATTGAGGATTTGTCCGTGTTGCTGCTGGCTCTGTAGCGTGCCAGAGTGTATAGTTCTCTATGTCTCGGGGGTGTCCGAGTCTAGGGTAGGTGGATTTCGGGAGACAGTAAAAAAGGGACAGTGCGTGGCACTGTGTCACTCAGCTGTGGGTGGAAGTCGGAGATTCTTATCGATAGATCGCCCCACTTGCCGTTACTGGTGATTTTCCAGGGATGCGGTTTGGTGACCGGTGAATCTCGGTGTAGAGCTCCAGTTTGCTGTGTGTAAGTCTGTCCTAACTTGGATGCCTTCACAGGCAGCTCAGGAAATCACACAGGAGAAATAAAGAGTGCACACTTTTGTTTATTTTCACGCTCCCAATACAATTACTTCGGAAGGAGCGTACCTTCATTTTTTCCCTCCCACGCACACTCACCACAAAAACCTCTTTCACTTCACACACCTCCGCCACTTACTACTCGTCACAATACGCAATCAACAGCCTCCATTGAGAACTTAATATCCGACTTCATCGCCATCAGCTTTTTTTTTCCCCCAAATTTACTGAGCCTCGGATACACTTTCCATCAAGAAGTTGATCGAGGAGCCTCAACATGACTCCCGCTGGTTCCATCGCTTTGTTGGTCATCCTGGTCATTGCTCTCATCTGCACTATCATCTGGCTCGCAAAGGACCAGGTTCACACCTTTGTCAAGGCTTTGGCCCATCACCGAGCGGCACGTAAGGAGGCTTCGACCACAGCCAATACAGAAGTCACCTCCAACGAGGCCACCGTCTAGGTAAGTCATTTCTTTATTCCATCCGGCAAAGAAAATCACACTCCCATCTGGATATCCTTATTCACGGGCCCTGGTCTTCAATATGTGGCTTGACTCCCCAATGTCATCGACATAGCGCGCACTAGCCACACCCAATCCCCAAATTCTCCACCAAAATTTATTCCATGGAAGCTCTCCAAGCACCGATCGACTGACTTCATTGCGCGCCGCCCCCAGGTCTCTCCACGCATCCTCGACAAGAACGAGCCATTCCATAGCAATGGCGACCCGACGCGCCTTCCGCTCCTCTTGGAGCGCGCGATCTCTTTCGAACCAGCTCAGCACATCTCCTTCCCCTATCTCCCGCCCTTTCGCAATCGCCTCCCGATCCATCAACACCTCAACCGACCCTTCCGCCGATGGCAAGACAACGCACTTTGGCTTCAAGACTGTCCCCGAGTCTGAGAAGGCCGACCGCGTCGCCGGCGTCTTCCACAGCGTCGCCGACTCTTATGACCGCATGAACGATCTCATGTCCTTTGGCTGGCACAGAATATGGAAGTACGTTGAGTTTCTCTCAACATCTGTCACGCCATCACCACTAACGCTCCTCCCAGGGACCACTTCGTCTCCGGCCTCCAGCCAGGCCTCTCAGCCTCCAACCCACCCACCCCCCAACACATCCTCGACATCGCCGGCGGCACAGGTGACATTGCCTTCCGCATGCTCCACACGGCGCACAACATCAACCACAACCCCGACGTCCGCGTCACAATCTCCGACATCAACCCCTCCATGCTCGCCGTCGGCCGCGACCGTTCCCGGTCCCTCCCGGCCTCCCAGCAGGCCGCCATGTCCTGGCTCGAGGCCAATGCCGAGAAGCTCCCCGAGGGCGCCATCAAGGACAACTCCATCGACCTCTACACCGTCGCCTTCGGCATCCGCAACTTTACAAACATCCCCGCCGCCCTGCGTGAGGCCCACCGCGTGCTCAAGCCCGGCGGTGTCTTCGCCTGCCTCGAGTTCAGCAAGGCAGACGACTACCCGCTTTTCAACGCCATCTACAAGCGGTGGTCCTTTAGCGGTATCCCCCTCATTGGCCAGCTTGTTGCTGGTGACAGGGATAGCTACCAGTACCTCGTCGAGAGTATCGAACGGTTCCCCAGCCAGACGGAGTTCAGGGACATGATCAAGGATGCTGGTTTCGTTGTCTCGGGTGAGGGTTATGAGAACTTGACTGGCGGTGTTGCTGCCATTCACAAGGGTATGAAGCCCATTGCGTAAAATGCCGATTCTGGGATAATCCGGGCGTGAGGAAGGAAATTCACAAAGGCAAAAAGGGGTCTAGTGAGCTTTTGAAGCTCTTGTAAACTGTATGTATATGTATCAACACAGGGAAATTCAGTCATCGGCATGGCTGCATAGAAGGCGGGCACCCCCAGATAGATTCTCTACACTAAATGTATACCAACAAAGGCCGCTGGGCCTGTTTCATAAGCAACACAACTCAAGCAACCTTGGAGAAACATGAGGAAACGGCAAGCGCGGCCTGAAGCTCCCAAGTCTGGCTGAACGACTTTACTGTTCTGGACGGGACACTGCTCAGCTGCGATCTCTTGGATTTCGTGTCTGTGAGTCCCCGCAGACGTATTAGTGAAAGCGATCATCGACAACAGCAAAGGCAGCCGCCACGAGCCTTTGATATCTCCCATTGAGACCATCAAAGCCTGACAATCGAGCTCGTGTCGGTAGCATGGCTGCTTACTGCTTATAAGACAACAAGAACGGGTACTCCTTTAAACAAAACCTCCATTCTATCCTTTGGCTGCAATCGCCTGGCAGACTCTCCTTCTATAAGGCGACTTTTGTGTCCAAGGCTCGTTGAGCAGCTCGTCCATCGTTGTTCCTGTTCGGCTGGGATACTCTCTGTCCATCTTCATATCAAAGCGTTCTGATTTTGGTAATCCAAGGTGATGGATCAGCCCACTCGGATGGCTGCTTCGATCTCGACATCGAAGCGGCGGTAGTGTCGGTGACATCTGCGGTGTTGATGACCTTTGTCAGGGTGACTAGGCTGTGAACTTCGTAGAGCATACATTTACTTCAACCATGTTAAGTGCCCGCACTTATATTCATCACGGCGCCTTCACGATCGGTTCGTCAGTAAGTACGAACGGGAGCGGGTCGAGGTAAAGAGAGAGAGAGAGAAAGAGAGAGAGAGAGAAAGAGAGAGAGAGAGAGAGAGAGAGAGAGAGAGAGAGAGAGAGAGAGAGAGAGAGAGGATAACAGCCTCCTATTAATTATAACTACTTGACCCTTGTGGTCGATTCTTTAACGAATACGACCGGGGAGAGCGCAACGAAGGGGGACAAACGTTCGCATCACCTCGACTCTCGATACCTGCATGGTACTTTGTCATGTTATAGCTCATCGAACAAATGATTTCGGATCGGGAACATGGTCTCCAACGATGCACCTGTTGTCGACAATGAAGCCAAGCTCACTCTGGCCTGATGCAAGGGCTCTGTCTGTCAACAACTTCATTTTATAGGATCAGAATTGCGAGGTCTTGGGAATACCAAGCTTCGTTTGACGGTACCAAGACCCAGTTCGTAAATTTGGGAGTCTGTTACCGGCACAGCAATTTTAAGCCCCCTCAAGGAGTCTGTATTTCGGTCTCCATGCAATTCGGCAAGTCCTCTGATTCGCGCCGTACCCTTTTCCTTGGGACCTGAGGATGTCAGCATTGCACGGCAGTCTTGACTACCCCCAAGGGGATACAGCCAAGCTTGCCTGGCAGACTCCAACAAGCTCCGATTCCTTACAGATAGCTGTGCATTTTCACTGCAATCTGAACCCCCCCAAAGGAGATAGAACCCAGCTGACCCCTCGGTTCCCTTCTGCCGCCCTCAAGTCCCTCCTGTAAGCCATCTGTCCATCTTAGGTACTCCGGCCTATGGTACGTAGTTCAGCCCCTTTTCACTGCAACTTTAACTCCCCCAAAGGCAAAGCCGGCCGAGCCTTCCACACAGCCTTGCCCTAGGTAGCCTCTCAACTGCGTCATATAACTACATGCCATCTGTACTCCATTCTGATCATACCAAACCATGGGCTATAACATCTTCGCTCAAGACTGATACCGAGACCACAGCAATGCTGGGTTGGCACTGCGTTGGGAACTCCATTTCTCGAAGACTATCAACCTCACAAAGAGGTGGTTTCTACTACATCAAGACTTCCGCGAAAGCCTCAACATTCGGAACCAAAACAACGTTCCAGGCCTTTCTCTCTCTCGTCTCATAGAACCACAACCACCCTTTTATGCACTTCTCACCGACGAAGGATAAACCCCCAAACATGGATGAAAAACGGAAACTTGAGTTGGAAAAAAAAGGTCTTTTCCACCTTTCCCCCCCTCAAGTTGTCTCATTAAGATACGCGTACAAGAATTGGTAGCACTTATTTTTTCTTTGGCCCCCCTTTCTCCCATTCATAACCGGCAAAAAAACGATGAAATCTTTGTCCTTTCATTCCCCTGCTTGCGAAGGGCCAAACTTGGCCATTACAGCTTCAAAGTCTTCATTTGACGGACCACGTGGCTTCGATTCCGAGGCCTGAGCCATCTTCCATACTTCATCAAAGGCTTCAGGAGGAGAGTCCTACTCTGCCGGGGTAGCAGGACCGGGGGCGGGGGAGGCGCCGCCTTCGCCCTTGAGGCCACCGCGACCACGTCCTCCACGTCCTCCGCGCTCGCCTCCTCGTCCACCTCGGCCACCACCACGGCCGCCACGACGGGTGCTCTCGGAATCACTGGCGCCACCGGCACTGCGGTAGCCGCTGCCAGTGTTTGCAGAGTTACCACCGCCTCTGCTGCTGCCCCAGTTGCCGGCACCACCGCGGGGCTGGAACTTGCTCTCGCGGTGTTGGAAAACCTTGACGAGGGGACGAGACCGGTCCTCTTGAGCCCGGGTCTTGAGGTCTTCGGGAAGGCTGTTCAGAGCAGCATCACGTTCCTCAATCGTCTTGAACATGACAACTTTGTTGGAGTTGCCCCATTTCTCGACCTTGAGGATGTTGTTCTTGTGCTCGCCGTCGAAAAGATCACGAGTCTGCTCCTCGGAGTTCACATTCATAATGAAAAGACCGACAATATCTTGAGCAGGTGTCTTGGGTGCGGGAGAAGAGACGGGGTCAGGGCCGTTGGCTGATCCGTTAGCAGCCGCAGGCGCAGGGCGCTCGTCCTTGGGAGGGACCGCAGGTGGTGCCGCAGCAGCAGGTTGAGGAGTTCCAGGCTTAGCTGATGGCAGGGGTGTTGCGACCGCAGGCTTGGGAGGTGCTTGGGATGACGGCTGTCTGCTGGTGGGCGGGGGAGCCGTAGTCTGAGTGGAAGGCGGGGCCGGGGCAGGCAGGTTGCCAGCGCCAGCAGGTCCGGCGGGAACAGGCGCAGCGGCCTTGGCACCTCTGTGTGAGAAGTTGAAGCCTTGGGCGCGCATCTCAGTTCCGATACGTCCATCCTGAATCTCAAGCACCAACCATCCGAATGCGGCATCAGCCAAGTTGAAGTTCCACATGTTCTTGAAAGCACTCTCGTCGACCTGGCCGAGTTGTGCCTGGCCGGCAACGGGACCGCCGAAGGGGTTGCCTCCCGCAGCAGTAGTGGGCATCTTCTCGACAATCTGGAGGGCGTTCTTGAGCAGGTTCTGCTGGCCCTCGTTCTGAGAGATGGCTGGCTCGACCTCGTTCTTGACCGTCTCCCAAACATCGTTGAAAGAGGCCTTGGAGGCAGCGAGCTTGCCGCGGTAGTGGTCGAGGGTGGGGTTTACGCTGAACTCGTTGTAGGAGCTGCCGTAACGGAAGTGGAGTCCAGCGGAAATGGAGAAGTCGGCCTTGAGGGTGACGGAAAGCTGGTTCAGAATACCCTCACGGGCAGGAGAGGCGTGGGTGACGAAGACACGGGTTTCGGTTGGGTCGTAAACTCGGTGCGCAGTGTCGACAAGTTCGCCCATCTGCAACAAGGTAGTCCACATAGTTCCCTGACCTCCGGCGATCGTAGTTCTTCCTTCGCCATTGTCGAAGAGCTTGTGCATGACAACAGCACCACCAAGACCCAAGAGGCGCAGCTTGACTCCACCGAGCTCGAGAAGCATCGAGCGGGCCTCGTCGATGATGTGCAGGTTGTGTACCTTATACTCTCCGGAACGGAACTTCTCGAGAACGCGGACATCTTCGCAAGCACCCCATACAGTGTATACTGGGATATCGAGCTTGATCTCGCCGCTCAAGAGTAGAGAGAGCTCGGAGAGGGGAAGCTCGTTGGCAGGGAATCGGCTCTTGACGGGTCCGGGGCCGCCCTGCTGGATGGCCTTCTTGACGGGCTCGGAAATCAGGGGAGAGTATTGAGCAACATGCTTCAGGGTTCTTCGCACCAGTGTCAGAATGACAACGGTCGATTATAGAGTCGCGGAGTGTTCCTTACTTTTCTGCGATTCGCTCCAGGGAGGTGTCGTCGTAGAAGCCAAAGTCGCCAGTGTGGATGATGTGATCGGCTCGTGCTTGTCTTGCCAGGTCGTTGAGGGATGTGAGGTTTCCTATCAAAGTTGATGTTAGATTCAAGCTTCACAGCCGGTCGCCCGACGGGATTTGATGGAATGGCGACGAACCTCGAACATCAGCTATGCACAGAACTCGGATGGGGCCAGTCTGGATAACGCGACCCTGGTTGGGGAGGAGAGGCGCAGCTCCAGGAGGAATCGAGGAAGCTCCGTTGGGCATGTAGCCCGGGTTGTTGTTGTATGGACGCGGCTATAGACATCGATGACATGTTAGTACTGGGGCCAGAAGCGGGACAAGGAGGAGCTGTCAAGGTCCCGCCGGAGAACAGCGAAGCATCAGGGCAACGAGGACAGAGCAGAGCGGGGAGATGCGCAATGAGATATAAAGCATCACGAGGTGTATGATACTGATTGGGAAGCTTGAAACGACGAGAAAAGGAGGTAACTCACGGCAGCCATGCTAGTTTGTTGTCGAGGTAATCGCGAGATGGAGATTGGGCGATTGAAAGTCGCAGGGGGGGGACGATCAGGCTCGGGGGTTCGTCGTCGGGTGAGTGACCGGATGCTCGGTTCGGGTGGTCGTCGAGGGGAGGAATTGGGTATCAACGGAGATGGAAATGAGGTTGGAAGGAGCAGACGGTGATGTTTGCGACGAGAAAAGGAACAAGCTCCCCTTACAAGGCTGGTGATATTTTTCTGGAGGTTGAGGAAAAGTGCAAGGTGTAGGTGGAA